GGTATGCTTGGTTTTCCAATGCTGAATAGGTAACCTAATCCGACAAGGTCCTTTATATTTACGATGGTTTAAATTCATCATCCTCATGCGCTTCTTCACTGACAACATTCTTTAAAAAGAATAAAACAAACAGATAAGCAAATCAAACTGTATGATCAAATAAAAATCTATTTACTCTCGTTGAAACACCACGCTGTGTAACTGATATTGAAAGAAGTAAATGACCACAAGGTGCGGCAATATTTTCTGGATTACTCAATTGAGCCCATTTTCGTTCAAATGCATGTCCTTTTTCATTATATACTGTTGCTAAATCCAATCGAAAAATTCCAATTGGTGCTGTATCTGTAAATGTACTAACTATTCTAACGGCATCATGAACCTTAACAAATAATAATAATCATAATAATAAATGAGAATATAATTTATAGTCAGTAAAATAAATGAAATAGTTATAAAATCAGCCAATTTAATGATTGATCAGTAAATCACTTTAAACGGTCAGTTATACTAGCTAATTAGGTTTGTAAAGAAATTTCAAAAATCAGTAAATACAATTTGTTAACAATCGATTATATGAAAAGATGAGGGTCAACATAAAAGTTGAAATGGTTTATAAAGTTTATTACTTTTGTTTTTATTTTCCTTTCTCTTCAGCTGTTCTATATATGTTCTCGTTGTTTTGGCCCACTCTTTTAAACCTACATATATTTTAATCAATAAGAAAAAATCATTGTTTTAATTTTTTCTTATAGTTTATTATCTAAAACAAAGAAAAAGAAGCTTCTCGATCTCTTCCGTGGTCGTTATTTTTACCTATCCCCATATTTAAATATTTAGTGATTTTAAAATAAAAATAAAATATTTCACGTTTACAAAATTTAAGGTATTTATAGCTATGAAAGTGATACAAGTGTTTGAATATGAAAGCGATATATCAGATGAAGAGATAATGGAAGAAGATCATGAAATAAATGGAAATCAAAATGTTGAGTTCAAAATAAATTGCATTTAATAATGAATGGTTCAAATCAGATGATGGTAGTTATGAAAATATACAACTATATGCATCAAGTACAAACAACGTCCTAGAGGCAACCAGTAAAACAATCAAAGATGATGAAACGTTTCGAAAATGCAACGTTTTTATCAAGAACTTTAACAATTTCTTCAAATATCATCAATAATGGGTTAATTGAACGAGATTCATAGTTAGTTAATACAAGAATATTTGCTACAGAAGTAACAATATCGTTTGAAATATTGTAAACCACTAGTAATAGCGAAGGTTAAACAAGCTTTACGAATACAATAATTCAATTTTCATTTTCTTTTTTTTTCAACTATTCTTCAAATTTCTTTCTATTTATTCTTTGGTTCTTTGTTTTATTTAAATTTATTTTCTACTAGTAAAGCTTATTTTTCTTTTTACTGTTACTGATATTTAATAAACTGACCATTTTACAATTAATTATTGATAATTTTAGTACTGATCATTTTAATATTTATATTGATGATTTATATATGTTTTTTTACTGATTGTTTCATCTATTTTACTGATTACTTAAATGGTAGCCATAATAAATTAATTATTATAAAACGAAAAAAAAAACTTACTTTGATAAAAATAACTTTTTCCATAAATTTTGTAGCTGGTAATTTAAAATCAAATGTGAAGAACTACAAAATAAACATATTTTAATATTGATTTTTCATCTTTTCTTTGAATATCTTACTTCGCCAAAATATGGTGAATTAGAAGATTTTTGTATATTTGTATATCGTTTTTGATCATCAATTTGAACGCTAACATATGGATTAATATTAAGTCCTGGAAAATCTCGTCCTTGTAAAACATGTATCATAACTTGCCATTCGGTCACTTCATATATATC